TCCTTAGCTATATATATATATATATATATATATATATAGCTAAGGATAAACCTGTAACCATAGCAACCAGGTCCCACACAAGTAGCATCAGGACCCCTTACCTGCCCACAGAGAGGACCGTGACCTCGCCTTGACGCCGTGGCCGGCCCTCTCTCGTCTTGTTGGTAGGTTTTATGAAGTGCCATCGCTTGTGCCTGCAGCGCTGGCACACATCCCGTTCAACGACACCTCCCACTGTGTGCAGATGGTGACCGCAGACATGCTTCCCTGGGGTGGCCCCTGGTGACAGGGGCCCAGGACTCACAGGTGGGCTTCCTGGCGTGCTAGGAGTGACAGGGCTGAGGGGGAGAAGAAAAGGAGAGGAAGACAAGGTAAAAATGGCTACTTAGAAGAGACCCCAGTGAAGGCAGTTGTTCCCTGAGACGCAGGAGCAAACCCTTCAATTGTACAAATGAACTGTGTGAACTGGCCCTGGGTAACAGCACTCGGCTCTCAGGACCGTGCAACAGCTGTTCATTCGAACGATGGTAGCAGCCGGGCTGGGGAATGAGCCACTGTTCCCAAGGAGGCCACGCAATTTGACTTCACATTACTCTTTTCCAAAACTTCCATTCTCCTTCTCGTACAATCACACTCATTCGTCACACATAGCCAAGAGTCCACCTGGAACGCCAAGCAAGGCACCCTGAATGTACCACGGAAAGGTTAGAATAGTAGATCCAATCTGACTGTTACATCAAAGAAAAAACGTCCAGGTTAAGACATAGAAAGTGGTACAGGAAATAGATGCTGACGTGGTTGACAACAGAAGAGTAGCTAATTGTCTCCTGAGAATATCCTATGTGTTAATTTAATAAATCCTGATGGATCTTTACAGTGTAAGCATTAATTTCCTCACCATAAAAATGAGGGCATTGGGGCACAAAGAGGCAAAGCATCTTACCCAGTATAGATAGCACCTAAGTGGTTTTGAGATCCAAACCTAGAAAGCTAAATTGTAGAGCCTCCTCCCCGCCCCATCCTGCCCCATTCAGGCCTGCAAGCCACACACAGTGCTTCAGAGACGAGAGTGACCAGCAGGGTAACCTAGAAGACATTTGGTCAGACCAGCTAAGATATATAAAGCAGAATTATAGATACAAGATGACAGCTACTTTCAGAAAGCACATATCAATCTTATGCTAGAAAAGGAGGGATCCAAACAGCACAGATCTGGACTGACCAGGAATCAGCCCCCTGTTGCACCTGAGATCAATACCTAATACCTGAGATTCGGAGCAAGAGCCCCAAAAGTCACACAGAAACCAGCCTCTGGGCTGCTGGCATCCAGTGGACTGGCACACTTCAAATTCAGTACAGGCCACACTCGAACTGAGGAATCAAAACAGTAACTGTAAGTTCTCACGTGCTCTTTAGCAATGTCCTTCAAGCTGTTCATGTACAAACACACAGTAGGACCTCCCTGGCAGAACAATGTTAGCTTGACACCATGTATTAGAAAAGTGAACTCATCAACTGCATTCACTCAACAATTATCAGTGATGACACAGCCCAGGAACAGGCCCACAGTCAACTGAGTGCAACCTACTGGAAGCTAATAAGTACTGAACATCAAATATCTCCAGGCAAAGGTAAGAAACATCAGTCTTTATGTCCTAAACTGCATCTCCAGGACTTGAACACGTGGCTCAGTGTTTGGCCTGACCCCTCTAATGTGCACATACAGCACAGCCCATCTGACAGACCCATTCACAATAGTGTTGGGTGTACTTGGCAAGGGGCCATATACAAAGCAGAAGAGCCTGCTTAACCATGGCACCCCATCCCAACTCAACATCCTGTCCCATTTTGCATCTTCTCTGATCCCGGAACCATTCCCATGTGGCCTGTCTACAGAACCTGTCCACATCAGCGCCACCGGAACACCTGGCGCAGACAGGACTTCTTTCTTGTTGACCTTCCTCTGGTCGCCAAAACTCCAACCTGTACCTCTTAGAAGGCCTCCCACACCCATCTCTATGCTCCATCAGCTGAATCCTTTCAGACCAAAGACCTGTGACTGCCCTGTTCTAGCCAACACTGTATCACACACCCAGTCAGCGTTCCTTGTTAGAGAGATCGAGAATTGTCTAGACATACAGTTATCTGTAACTAATTACAGGAGAATCTGGTGCCCGACAACCGTAACCTATGACCAGTGATACCAGGTATTCCGAACTGACCAGGTTATCATTTAGTTACCGTTGTTTATAAAGGTCTCACAGGACCCGAAGTGCTCTATATTCCTGATAATGATTGAATGAAGTTAGCACAGTGGTTTATAGACATTGGATCTCAGCAGGATCAGTTAACTTGAGAGGCAGGACACAACCACTCTCGAGCTCTGTTTGACTCTTAGCCACAAACCTCGCTTTCTCCAACACTACCGTTTACCACAGGAGTTTTCAACCAGGGTTACTGAGACCCAGGCTGATCCAAGGCTTTCTCTGAGGCCCTGATATAAGGTTGTCTCAAATTGGGAATAAGCTTGACAGAGCCAGTAAAGGCCTAGAGGAATGGCCTTGGAGGAACTGACTCTCCCATGGGTATCGGCTCCAAGGCCACTCTGTGCTCCATCTGTGGAGCACTTGAGATATCCTGTGCTCCCCTTGCGCAGCACTGTCTGACTGGCGTCCTGTTGACTTGACCCGCTGTATGACAGCTTTCTACTGACTGGATCCCATTTTTCCCCATAAAAGCTGTATCTAAGATGTGCCTCTTAATAAACTTGCTTGGCGTAAGCTATCGGCTTACACACGAGCTCCTCCTGGTCCCAGCTTTCTGTATTCATTATCTTCTAATCCCCAGATCTTGTTCTCAACACCTAGTGGGTTCTGGACCCAATTCCTGTGAGCTCAGGTCACTGAGTAATGCTGTCCTGGGAATGCTGTCAGTGTGCAGAGACATTTTAGGTTGTCACACTTTGAAGGAGAGGGATAGTGGTCTGTCATCCAGTGAGCAGTGATGAGGGGCTGTGTTCAGCAATCCACCTTGTACCAGCCATCACCTCAGCAAAGACTCGCCTGACCCCAAATGCCAGTAGTACCAAGGCTAGAGACCAGCTCCAGCTCACCACAATACCAAGGGCGTCAATCTGAACAAACACATACAAACTGTCTCTATCCACTGGAAGAGAGGCACTCACCTTTCAACTTCGCCCACGCTGTTATCAGATACCATGGCTTTCAAAATATCTGCATTCGCTGAGGAAAAAAGAAGAAGAACTAAATGAGGTAAACGAGCAATCAGTCATGTTAGAAAAGCTGTCGGCGAAACACCTCACGCCTCCTCTCAGTTCCCAGAGGCCCGGATGAGGAAGGTAGGAGGTTTACTTCCCAGTTGGCTAACTGCCTTTGCTTTGCTCTAGGACTACAGAAGCCCCTAAATCGGGACAAACACTTCAAATTACAGTGTTCATTCTTTAAAACCCCACAGATGTGAGCTGTCCACACACTGAACCCAAGCTTCTTAGACCCAACCCACACCCACTCTCGATCCTACTTCTTAGGGAGTGGCCGGTCAAAGGCTGTTGTGAATGTCAAGCTTCTTTTGGCTATGTAATTGTCAAGGCCAAACGCTATTACCAACTCCTAACCTTTTCCATTGATTTTTAAAGCAGCTTTCACAGGACTAAGCACAATAAATTCTCCAGAGAGGAAAGAGTAAAAGCATTACGATTTACCTCGTGAGCCAATGGCAGGTAGCCTGTAGCAGTTTACATCACGTGACACCCCCAGAGACGGACAATTGACGCTAGTTCTAACTCTGCTGCTAGGAGAGTCGGGAGGCAAGGGTTCCCACGCTGTGTGCTTCACAATCTGACTTCCTTTTTGCCCCTCCCACTTTTCCCCCTACCCATCCTCCCATGAAAATACAATACCAAAGATTTAGATCCACTTATGGCCCATGGTGTTTTTAAGAAATATTTACACATGTCATCCCTTTCCTAAAAAGAGTACTTTTTTTTTTGCTCTTCACAACTGTGAGGGTATCCAAATGAGCTGTCAAACACGAGTTTTTATTGTAAAACCAAAAGGGTTTTGTTACTTAAAAAAAAAAAAGCCCTGAATTAGGTCTATACTATTTCCACCCATACACCAAAAAAAAAAGACACATTGACTTTGACACACTTCACAGTCTTGTGACATATGTGATATAATGGGATTCAGGAAAAGAATCTCCGTTCAGATAATAGGTTGGAGTGTTACTTTGGTTTCCATTTGGTCCCACAAAGATTCTGGTGTTAAAACCTTGGTCCCCATGGTCACTTCTCTATGTGCTGTTACTGCTACCCTTGGCTCGGCCCCCACTGATGCTGCCCTCCCTCAAGTCTGGTACATAATGGCAGCAAACAAAATGCCCACGTGGGATGTGGCGGGATCGGAAGTGGTCCAACCTTTTGAATCCAGGGAAGGTGATTAGGTTATTGGAACACAGCCCTGAGAATTCAGACAGCTCTTGGGATTCTGCCTCTTACCCCCAGTTCCCAGGAAAAAGATTGCTGTAAACATGAAAGGGCTGGGGCTGTAGCTCAGCCACGAGTGAGCGCATGTGCTTTGCGTGCAGGAGTCCATGCATTTGAGTCCTAGCATCTACAAGGAGAACGCCAGCCCTCTCCTCCCCCCTCTCTCTGGCTTCCTGGTTGTTGTGCGTTCTTTTCCTTTCCCCCATGCTATCCACTAAGATGTAACCCAGCCAGGTGGACCCTCACTGGAGTCCAAATCAATGAGGCTGCCTGATCTTGGACCTCCATCCTCTCCATCCTCTAAGCAAACCACTCTGCTGTTAGAAAGCACTAGCTCCGTATATTCTGTTAGAAATAACAGAAGAGGAACTGATAAAGAAGCATAGTCTCACATATGGCTTATATAAAGTACACAGTAAGTGGCCAGTTTGTACGCTCCCATGATTTACCAAACATGACCAAAGAGATAAAGTAACAGCAAAGGGAATGGTGTCATGCTGGCTGCAACAGATTTTATAGTGATAAGCATTCAAAAGAAAATTGTTTAAACTTACCCGAGAAAAAACTTCCCTATAAATTACGAGTGCCCATTAAATAAAATGTAAAATTATTTACTAGTCCTTGATGCTTTCCAAACTCCTACACAATGCCAGAAAAACCCCACTGACCACACAAACACTACTCAGTTTGGCTCTCTAGAGAAAGGTAAATTAAGAGATAGCACTGGGGTTTCTCTAGTTCTCGGGATTAGGAAGAAAACCCGATAGGTGTGTGGGTGTGGGAGCTCTTAAAACCCTGAGAATTTCCTGAGTGAAATATCCTGAGTCAAAAAAGGAGTGTCTTTTGTCATTCATAATGAGCCACTCGATCAGACTGAGTCTAGGATAACAAGGTGAGTCAGGGTGGGGCTGGTGATCAGAAAGGCCCTGAGATCAGAGGATACCAACTCTGGGCTCCAGCCCCTAGCTCCCAAGGCCTGGCTCCCAGCCTCTAGTTGTTCCCCTTTAACAAACCACTGAAGGCAACAGCATATTCCTGCCTTCTGGGAGCCATTCTAGCAAATCAGCAAACCTGAGGAAGGGACTGTGGGGATTCTCAGATTCGTAGTGTGCAGGTTAAGAGGAACAGAGCTCGAATGCAAAGCAGGGCGGGCAGCCCTTTGCCTCTGGTAGACCACACTGACTCCCTGGCAGCATCGGAAGTGAATTAGATGGTAGATGGGGTTGGAAATCTGTGCACGTCCTATATTGGAAGCCCAGTATGGGCTAGAGAGATGGCTCGGTGGTTAGAGCACATGCTGCTCTTGCAGGAGCCATTTGATTCCCAGCACCCATGGGAATAAATCTTTAAGAAATAAGCAGTGTGACAGCACAACACCACAAAATGTGCCTGCCCAGCAGATCAGCTACTGTATCCAAACCCCAAAGAATGGCGACATAAGCTAAAATTGATTTCTAAAATGAAAGGTACGTGCCTAAATCCTAAGCAAGAATGCTACCTTGGGAAGCCAGCTTACCACTCTAAGTGTGTACAACTGTCCTCTCCTTCAGCCCGAGTTTTCATCCCCCTTCTGGCTTAAATCTATATTAAAATTCTAATAAACCTCAATTTAATTCATTAAAAAAAAAATCATGACTACATCTGACAAATTAAATTACCATCTGGCGAGTTAAAAACACAATGCAGGAAACTGCTCATATGTCAATAACACAAATGGCAAAAACTATGTGCTTTGGATGTAAACATAGGAAGATGTTAACAGAGAGCATGTGCTTCATCTTATTCCTTTTTAATTACTTTTTAAAAGTTCGGAGTGCACTTATAATCTGTTAGTATAGAGAGTGTCGGTTTGGGAAGTAACAGTGACGTCTAAATTGAAATAAAGTTTGAAGTTGCACTAACTATGGAACACAAGGCGGGCTAACGCGGTGCTTTTTCCATACAGTAGAGGATTTTAGCCTCAGAGTCAACCTGAAAACTAGGTTATAAACTAGCGTGCTAGAAACTAGTATTGCCAAATCCCATGCCCTGATGGGAAACCTCTGGGAGACAGACCCAAACCCAAGTATTCTTGTCTTTTTGTTCTTATTCTAAAAACCATTCTGCTCAGTCTATTTATTCTTTTTTTTTTCAAACTATCAAAATTGAAAGAGAGAAATAACATTGCAAGGCTGAAAAACAGCACAATGTTTAGAACTAGAAAGAAGGCTCGAACCTCGGGACCTCAAGCCCTTGGAGCCTCCCTTCCTTCACCTGTAAAGTGAGTAATAACACTGGCTTTAGATAGATGTGTTGAAACCTAGGTGAGATTGCGTATCTCACTACTAGCTCTAGGCTAAAGACATAAAGTGCAGCTGGAAAACAGGCACAGATCTGAGTCTGGACCAGGTGGGTGCTCTTGCTGAGTGATGTGGGGACTAAGCTCCCAGAGAGCAGCTGGTGATGGAAAGGTGACATAAGCTGATGGAAGTAGACACTGTAGCATTTCAGCAAACGGAGTAAGGAGAACCACAAACCTTATAAACCACTAAGATCAAAGAATCTGTTCGGGTTTGGGTGTGTCCTAAAATTCACTCATGTGTCAGAAGCATTATCTCCCAAAGTCATACTGATGGCATTTGGAGGAGGGGCCTCAGGATGACTTCATGGATTACTGAGAGAGTGATTTTTTTTTTTTTTTTTTTTGTCATAAAAGCAGGTTCTGTCTGACATGACTGCTCTGTCTCCTCGTGTCTCAGAATGTCCCAGGTCAGAATGCATCAATGAAGAGCCTCTCCAGATGCCGAGTAGATTCTGGCCCCATGCTTAGACTTGTTAGCCTCTAGAATCATGAGCTAAAGAAACTTCTGTTCTTTATAGCTTATCACGCTTGTGCTACTCAGTTATAGCAACAGAAAACATGATCCAATGAAGACAACCCCCAGCATTCAGAACAAGGACCCTAATTCATTTAGTAACAGTTGGATACTTCACTTAAAAAGCTGACTTAAAATACATTTCATAAGGCTAAGCATAGCGGCACATGCCTATAATCCCAACATTTAGGAGGTAGGGGGAGGCTGATCAGGGGTTCAGGATTATCCTTGGTTATATACCGAGTTCAAAGCCAGACTGAACCTATCTCAAAAAAGTATATGAGAAAAAAAAAAGCCACCTAAGTCCTGATGCTTAAACTCTTCCGAGTGTCCACATTTAATACTGGATGTCCTAGAAGATACAAACCACAGAGGCAGAAAGCAAAGCAGCTCTGCAAGGAGTTTGGAGAGGAAGGAACAGGAAGAGACGCATACATCTTTCAGAGTCGGGTGTTGAGGAAGTTCTAGAATATGCTGACACTTTTGTGTAGCTCTTAAAAAGGACATGCTACTCAACTCTCCCCTTCCAAATGGTTAAACTGGCAAAGGTGTGTGTGTGTGTGTGTGTGTGTGTGTGTGTGAGAGAGAGAGAGAGAGAGAGAGAGAGAGAGAGAGAGAGAGAGAATGAATATTCATATGTGCTCACATATGGAGGTCAGAGGTCAATGTGGGTGTCTTCCTCAATCATTCTCCTCATATTTGGAGATAGGCTCTCTCACTGAACCTGAAGCTCACCAACTGGCTAGACCAGCTGGTCAGAGCCCTCCAGGGCCTCACTGCATCCATCTGCCCAGGGTTGGTGTTACAGGAGATTGCCACCACTCCCCAGTTCTTACCAGGATGCTGGGTATCAAACTCATGTCCTTAAGTGTGAAAAACAAGAACCAGGTAAAACGTGAGACCTTATGACATCCAGCACATCACATGTGCTACTGCACACAGTTGTGTCATGTAACTCTCACTCTATAGGAGGAAACTGAGGCTTTATAAAGTCATGTGACACAGCCTAGAAGCTATCAACTCTCCTGTCCCTCTGCGATGCTGAAGCAATCAACCACCGAGGTTAACTCTCCTGTTAGGACAATGCTAAAAGCTGAGGTGTTACAGAGCTCAGAATAGAGCAGTTTGAAGCCATTCAAATTCCAACTCTAAGGAGATTTTTAATAATACGAAATGCCCCAAAGCACGAAGATACCCTACCTTCATTTTTCATAATGTAGTGGACAATCTGCCCGACGGTGTCGCTGTTCTCATTTATACTGTCATTCAACTCTAAGAAAGAAAAAGGACAGGGCGGCATTACGATCGGTCACCCGCAACAAGTCAATGAGACACTTATCTTAGAGCCCAAGACCTCACCAAATACCTTCCAGAAAGTTTAAGCACCCTCACACAGTGCTAAGAGTCTAGCTTTAATCCTTCAGCCTCACCTTCCCAATGCCACATTTTGAGTTCCTGGGCAGAACACAAATTTCAAAGTTAAAATTAAAAGTTAAAAGAAAAAGGCAAAGGACCATCCAGCAATCTCTCCTCAAGATCAAATATCCACTCACTTTGCATGACAACACAGGAATGCACGGATCTCTGTCCCCACTTTCTCTTACTTCGCCCTATGACCTTAACCCCTCCTGGGAAACAAGAAGGTTCACTAAAAGAAAGGCCATCGTCCCTAGGTTTAATCTAATCGCAGACTTGCTGTATCCAGTTGGCCTACTGATTTATGGTTTCAACTGGACAAGTAAGTATTCGTCCATGTTTATAAAACTCTCTTTTCCTTTTAAACAAGGGAGCTAAATTTGGGCACTGGTTATTTGTTTACAGCCTCAGTTTACTTTGGGGACCCATCATTAGTAGTCTACGGCAGTCGGGCGGAGAGAGAGAGGGGCTAGCCTCCATTTGGAAACTGATCTGTATTACTTATTTAGCAGGACAAGTCGAGACTGGATTGAGACATTGTACAGAGTAGGACAACAGGCCCATGTACCTGCAAGAGTGTCCTCTGCACCCCAAGGGAGGCTTCTCCCCCATGACCTGTGGATGTTTGGACAGTCACAGTGGAAGCTGACGGCTGAGCCAACCTGTGTCGGTTAGAAGGAACAGAGGGGGAGGCCCTGCTCTGTTGACAAACACTCAGGGCTGGTTTGCTCATTCGCTGGGCATGACTCATCATGTTCACCCATGTTCCGCAGCCTCAAAGGTCAGTGGGGGTGGAAAAACCAACAGTCCAGCAAGCTGGCAGGGATTGAGAAACCTTCCCTCACCGGCCCTGCGGGTAGGCTCTATGGATGGACCTACTCCAAATGTCACCTCCCTGCAAAGATGTCATAGAGGGGCTGAGCGGGATGAAGAGTGAGAGGCTAGCCCTCGGGCCTACCAGGAAACCTCCCTAAGGCGTGACTGGATAGGAATATCAGTGAGGAAAAACGTGCTGTGGGTGGGGTTCACTCCACCACTAGCTATCAACGCATGTGCAGACAGAGGAAAAGATGAGTGCCCAGACATTCACATAGACACACCAGTCCTTGCTGCAGCTCTGCTGAACTATGCCTACATCTAGTCACTGACCAGCATAAAGTTCAGCCTCATGGACTTTAGCTAGCATTCCTCCAGTAATACTAACACCACAAACCTGATGAGACCCGTTTCATGTTCCTACTGTTCTTTTTTTTTTTTTTTGGTTTGGTTTTTTGAGACAGGGTTTCTCTGTATAGCCCTGGCTGTCCTGGAACTCACTCTGTAGACCAGGCTAGCCTCGAACTCAGAAATCCGCCTGCCTCTGCCTCCCAAGTGCTGGGATTAAAGGCGTGCGCCACCACCGCCCGGCGTTCCTACCGTTCTTATTAGACTCTAACTCAATGAGTAGCAGCAAGCAGCAGGTTTATGAGTAGCTGTAAGTGCCAGTCACTAAAACACCTTGTCTCAAAATTTCACATCACCCCTTCAAGGTGGAGACAGAGTATCCTCCTTAAACTAAATGTCAATAAAATGAGAAATAAAAACACACCGCACAAATATCAGTCCCGAGGCTACCAGGCTCTGAAGTAAACACTCAGCAAGAATTCAGTAAATGCAGGCAAGGTTTCAAACTCTGATTACTGCAGAAAATAGTTTTCCTCATAAAGAAATTAATTAAATATTAGGTTCTTTTAAATTTAGAATCCACTCCTCGACCCATTTTTTTTAAAAAGCATAGGTTATTTACCTATCTTTTCCACCTTTTCCTCTTCAACTTCCTGTTCGGCCTCTGTTGTACACCGATAGCCTTTCTTCTTAAGTAAGTGGCAGATGAGGACACCAAGGAGACCCATGACGAAGAAGACAGGGACAAGCACATACGCGATGTATTCCGGGTGTCCATTCCCAGCGTTGTTGGTGGGTGATGACGGAGTTGTCTCTGCTCGGGAGTGTAACGTGCGGCTACCAGTGTTGTCTACAGAGAGGGACATGCACGGCTGTGTTAGATGATTGTGACGAAGCTCTGGGAACATTTCCACTACATTGAAGTTTTGTGCTCCAAAAGCGACAAGCTATACACTGGTCTGGGGACCTGGATAGATGGGGACAAAGGGTGAGAGCATAGCCTTGAGCTGAAACAGTCCAAGACCACCTCCTGAACTATGAAATCTCTTAACAGAGGATTTAGAAGGCACAGGGTTTTAGGGGAGTGGCCTGCACAGAATACGCATGTGAGTGTTAAGGGGTCATTACAGCATACTACTTAGCAGTTGTGTGTGACGTGGAGTGGATGTCCAACTCCACTTTTAGTAGCACTCTGACAAAGGACAATGATCCAACAACCAAATGCCTCTGTGTATGAAAGGAGCATCCTAACACAGTATCTGCACATCTTTCTCTGAAGAGGAAACTAATTGCTACGGGCCAAACACACAGGAGTATTTCTGCAGGAGCAAATGATTACCGTCTTGCCTGGCAAATGCCAGGGACCTAAGTGCACCACACCAAGCCAGACACAAACATCTTGTCCTCGTGTGACTTATGTTCCAGAAGGATCGAGTGAACTAAGATGATGACAGCACAAAGAGAGGAAAGACCAGGGACAGCCTCAGATTTCTGGTCCAAGGTCCAAATGTAAAACTGGAAGCGTGTGTGCATTTGTTCATTCATTGATCTAAATACCAGATACTGTGTGCCTGCTGTGTGGTGAGCCACTGCTGAGAGGAGAAGGGAGAACACTAGCAGATCAGGTCACATGGAAGGAATTCATGTGCACTGGGAGACAACAGCACTGGGGACCTGTCCACAAGAAAAAGGAAGCTATGGAGAGGGCGTGATTTAGAACCAAGAAGTTTGCTTTTAGATGGCTATCACATGACCTTATCCCAGAGGCGGCCTGAAAAGGCAGACAGTATAACAGTCATATGACCTCTTGAAAGTAAGTCAGAGAAAGCCTGGGCACACCATCATGACAAGTGGTTAGGAAAGAGAGAAAACAGACTGCTGAGAAAACCTGTGGGATAGATGGAGAACACTATGAGAATTATGAGGAAAGGAGCCCCTCACTCCAGAGGCTGACTGAAGCCCCTCCTGAGATGAGAAGCAAGAACTGCAGCACAACTATTTGCCATGTAGGGTGCTGACATACAGATTGGATGGATGGAAATGGATGAATGGAGGATGGATGGATGGATGGATGGATGGATGGATGGATGGATGGATAAATGGTTGGATGAGTAGATGAATGGATGGGTAAGAGGATGGGTGGATGGATAGATGATGGATGAATGGGTGGGAGGGTAGTTAGAGGAATGGATGGATGGATGAATGGATGGATGAGTGGATGGATAGATGAATGGTTGAGTGGATGATGGGAGGGTAAATGGATGGATGGATGATGGAGAGGTGGAGGAATGAATGATGAATGGACAATTGAATTTTGAAATAATAATAACCAGACTTGAGGCCTGAAGTTACTTGACTCTAGTTCTCGTGCCCCTCCTATTTTATGGGGATCTCAAACAAGGCTTTGTACAGTAAGCCCTCCTACTTTCCGGTATCTGATGATCTACAGTTTTATCTTATTAATCATAATCCTGTCAATACCCCACTCCCCCGCTGAAGAACCTTCTGTGCAACTCTTTCAATAGTTTCAAAACTCACACAAACGGTATATGTGTCTATTAGGAAGACAGACAAAGACTGTGAGAAGTCCACATCTGTACTCTCCTGTATGTTACCTTCTCCCTGAGCATCTCCCTGTTTTAAAATCTGTTGAAACGCTCATCTTAATAAAAACGCTGGCTCTGCTTCATTCCAATTTGTCTTGGAATTCTTTTCTGCGTTAAAGCCAAGATCAATTTTACCTGAGTTGGAGTGCCTAAAAGATGACAGGGATTCAGGATGCTGCCAGTTACAGAGTGGAGCATAGCCTCTGCCCCTGCTGTCCCTGACTCTTTAACGCCACGGAAAACTTAGTAGCAGATGAAAGGAGAAGGTCAGGTGGTGCAAAGTAAAGGAAAATACAGCATTTGGGTTTGATGTCTTAGCTGAGAGTCACCTACCCTGCAAAAGAAACCCTGAACTCAGAAAACCAGCGACAGCCATGCTTAGCTCTGTGCTTTCTCAACATGTGGCTAAACAAAGGATGACTGTAGGTAGTGTGACTGTACTCACACCTAGTATGGAATAAGCACAGGCCATAGCAGCAGCCAACAGTATCAAAGTGAAGCATAACCAGAGCCCATGAGACAAAGGGCTGCTTCTCTTCTTACATGGAAATACCCGTGATCTTTGAGCAGTAAAGGAAAACTACTGGTTTCATCAGTTTGCAAAAGGTTCCATTCATTACTTTATCAGGTAACCTCTAGAATTTGAGATAGCACTTTTTTTTTATTTCTTATCCAAGAATACACACACACATACATATATACATACATACATACATACACACACACATACTTCTCACTGCATGTGACTTTTCAAACAATGCACTGCACATATAGCAGAGACCTCACAGATTATAATGAATTTTATAAAGTCCTACGGCATTTTTTTTTACTGTTTTCTTTTATAATTGGACACCACACAAACACCACTGCGTGACAACTGTGTACAGGATCTGGTACGGTAATGTTGTATACGTTTAACAGCCTGGGTCAATAGACTATGTCAGGTAAATGACAGTAGGCTGTATCAGTAAAGTTTATATAAGTGTACTGTTATCTGATGAAGAATTTCTTTTTTTTTTTCTTTTTTTTTTTTAATTATTGTTGTTGTTGTTTTTTTTTTGAGACAGGGTTTCTCTGTATAGCCCTGGCTGTCCTGGAACTCACTCTGTAGACCAGGCTGGAATCAAACTCAGAAATCTGCCTGCCTCTGCCTCCCATGTGCTGGGATTAAAGGCGTGCGCCACCACTGCCCAGCATAGAATTTCTTATAATGTATTCCTATCACTAAGTAATGCAGATATCTATATAAAAAGCACATGTGTCTATAACACATAGATAGGAACAAAGCCTGAAACATTTATTTAACTTTACAGTTCTGAGTAAGCCTGCCTGCCTACTTACTTACTTACTTACTTACTTTCCTTCCTCTACCAAATTTATGTCACAGAAACCAACTAGCTTTCCTCAAAGTCACTGCCTGTTTCAGGCAGAAGGTAAAGACCAATTAGGCATGGGAAGCAGGAATGAGCAGTGGGCTCAGAACTGGTATCAACAGCAGCTCTGAACCAGATGGTTGAGAGTGTGTCTTCGCTGTCCACTTGACACCTAGCCTGTGTGTACAGGCCTGTGTGACTTGCAAACAAGAATCACTTCATTCATTTAATTCATTAATCAGAATCATCCACTTAATCTCAGCTGCGGTGCAACGGAAAAGCTGCAGATGGCAGGAATTTAGTGCATCTCGAGACGTACTAAAGCACCGACCTTAAAAGCTCAGGCTGCCTGCTGAATGTTAACAGCTCGGCCACTTAGGAGACTTCACATCTTTAGTGAGCAAAATATAAATGTTCAATGCTTGGTTTCCTCATCCGTAAAATGCAATCCGAGTGACTGTAGCTGAGACAGAAGCCTTTAAGCCCAAGGCCAGAGAGAGGCTCTCTTAAAAGAAGCCAAGTACTGAGTGTACCCTCGGTGGTTTGAAAACAACCCCTAGATTTTAGATGCCACTGGAACATGGGGACCATCATCTCCTCTCCTTAAAAAAATCTCATCTGTGACTTGTCAGCACAACGGAACTCGTTGGGAGTTGGTATCTAGACCCCAGGCCTTACTTAAGCAACTCACTTCCTACTTCCTGCATCTTTAGGCATTTGCTCTTGGCACCCAACCACACGCTGTATGGAAGCCCAATCTGTCTGTGTAAAGAGACCAGCAGCAGGCATCAACTTGCCAACCAGTAAACAAGCTGGCTTGGAAGGGCATCCTATAGCCAGGGGATGCTGGGATGTTGCACGGAGCAAAGATGAGCTGTCCAGATGAGCGATGGCCCAGGGTGTGGATCCTCACACCAATCAATGCTTGTTTTTAAGACCTAAGCTTTGAGGTAATCTGTTATGTAGCAATAGCAAGCAGAAGTTCTTAGCCCATGAAGTCACTAAGAGATTAGCTCTTATTAACACGTACAGCACAGAGAAAGGAAGTGTTCTCAAAGAAGTTCAGTGACCATTACTGACCTGTAGCACCCGGAAAAGGAGCCACCAGTCATGTGACACCACTTACATGTGAATTTCAAGCCAATGAACTTAAGATTTCTGGTCCTCTGTTGCACTGGCTGCATCTCAGGTGTGCGCCAGTCTCGAGGCTGTTTGCTCTCCTCCTGGAGAGCTCAGATAATGAGCATTCATTCTCATCAACGCAGAACGTTCTGTTTGCTCATCAGCATTTCAGATTACAAGAGTTTACAAGAAAACTATTGGCTACAGAATCCACTGTGGCCTAAACAATTCAATGAGAAATAACTCTTCGATAGTACAGTAACTATTAATTAACAGTAAATAACAGCGAATAATGCTGACAGCATTTAATTGGTATAGAGTGAGTTTTCTTTCAATTAACTAATAAACTATCATCTCCGAACAGTTGTCTCAAGAGGTAGTGGTAGATGGGTATGATCAGAAATACACTGTATGGATGTACAAAATTTTCAAAAAAAATAAATTTAAAATGTTCCAGTCTGATATCTGAATACCCTTATCTTGGTAATGGATTAGTTACCGTGAGAATTAGTTATTGAGGATTAATACACAGGAGTGCATTAGCTATCGTGTGAGTTAGTTATCACAGAAGTGAATTAATTAGTAAGTGCTGGTGGTGTTTGAATGAGAATGTGCCTCCCTTCCATATGTTCATATATTTGAAAGCTTGGTCACTAGGGAGTGGAACCGTTTGAAAAGCTTAGAAGGATTAGAAAGTGTGGCTTTGTTTGAGGAAGTGTGTTACTGTGGGTCACCTGGCCCAGTCTCTG